GGGTAGTAGTAAAGGGAGAGGGACGGGACAGGGCCGTGTGCCCTGTGCACTTTGCACTGTTCCTGTCCTCGGCCGGGATCGGGCAGCCGGGAGTGGCCCGTGTGCTTGTTACTCGGGTCTCTGTGCTTTTGGTCGGTCGGTCCGTGTGCAGCCAGACCCCCCCTCCCCGCGAACCCCTGACCGCCGCAAGCCCCTAGCCCCCGCCGCAGGCTTCAAGTGCGTCACGCGACCCTGACCACAAAAAACCATACTCATTCACGATCCGGCGGGGCGAGCGGCACGCGCGCACGCACGACACGAATCTACACGCACACATGTTCTTACACTTTCCTCCTGGAAATGAGTGGGGGGGGGTGAGGCCCCGGCGGGCCCGTGCGGCGTCGGCGGCTTCGGTCGTAGTGCCTTCGGCTTCGGTCGTTCGGTCTGCGCCTGCTGCGTCTTCTTCGTTTTCTCTCCACCCCATCCCTTCTCCGTCCGTCTGGCATCGCCCCGCTTCTTCTTCTCCTCCCCCTGCGCCAGCTCATTCTTCGTTCTTTTTCTTTACCTTACTCCTTCCCTCTCTTCCGCCCCCCTCCTTTTCGCGCCTTAACATTCTTTCCTCTCCCCTCTCCTCCCCTCCCTCCCCATCCACGCCTCCGCCCGCCGCCTCCCACGCCTCATTCTCCGGCTTCCTCCTCGCCCTTTCCCTTCTCAGCCTTCCTCTTTTCACCCTTCCTGCTTTTTGTGTGCTTTTTACACAACCCCAACTTTGCCACTCGAACACAACCCCCTCAATGCCACAGCAGATCCTAGAAGGCGAGCCACCACCAAGCAAAGCGGAGGACCGCACACCGCGTCACCCCGAACCCCGACAATCCTACCCCATACGAGGCAAACTTCTCTCCTCTCGTTCACCCCTCGATACTCTAGTTCTCTCTCCTCTCCTCTTCTCCCTCCTCTTCCCTGCCCCTCCCCTCACACCACCTCCTCATCCCCCCTCAATCCCCCTCCTCCTCCCCTCCACCTCTCTCTCAACACCCCATCATCTCACTCTCTCCTCTCCCCCGTCTTCTCTCTCCTCTTCCCATCTCTCTCTCAGTCCTCTCTCCAACTCTCACTCTCCCTTCCTCTCCCCCTACTTCTTTTTCTCAAACTCAATCTTCTCTCCTCTCTCCTCTCTCCTCTCACTTTACCCCCCGCTCCTCTCTCCCCATCCTCTCTCTCTCTCTCATTCATCCTCTCTCTCCCACACACCTCTTCCCCTTCACCCTTCGTCGTCCCCTACCCCTCTCCACCCCACTGTTTGGTGCTCTCTCCTCTCCACTCACACTATCCCTCCTCATCTCTCCAACTCATTCTTCTTCTTCTCCACACTCTCTCCCTCCCCTCCCCTCTCTCCTTCCCTCATCCTCTCTCACTCCTCCCTTCTCTCTCTTTTAACCACTCCCTCACTCTCTCCTCCGCTCCTCTACGACACTACCACCCCACTCACACACTCACTCTCTCCCACCTCCCTAACTCTCACCACAACCCCACACCCCAGCCTACCACTTCCCCTCACCCCACCCCACACCACTTGCTCACACTCACAGCTTTCCTCCCGCACCCTCTCCACCCTCCTCACATCCACCACACCCTCCACACCACTCCTCACACCACCCACACACCTCCCACTACACCTCCCCATCCCTCCCTCCCCACTCACCTCCCACCTCCCTCTCATCACATCCCCACCTCTCCCCCACCACACCCCACCACTCTCTTCACAACTCTCCTCACCACCTCCTCTCTCGCTCGACCTCTCCACTCTCACACCTCTCTCCACACAACTTCCTCTCCACACCCTCTACCACACCACTCACTCCACCCTCACCTCCTCTCCCAACACTCCTCCTCCTCACTCACTCTCTCTCCCCTCACGCGCTCCCCACTTCACTCTCACTCTCTCTCTCTCTCACTTCCTCCTCACTCTCTCTCACTATCCTCAACTCACTCCTCTCTAATACCACTCACATCCCACACTTCTCACTTCACTCAACACTCTCAACTTACCAGCACCACTCTCACACTACACTCTCTCCACTCCAACCCTCACTTCACTTCCACACTCCTCACTCTCACTCTCTTCTCTCCCTACTCCTCATCCTCTCTCTCCACTCTCTGTCACAAACCTCACTCCTCTCTCTTCTCTTACCTCTCTCTTTTTCACACACTCAACACCTCCATCTATCACTCTCTCTCTCTTACCACACTCCCACATCACTCTCTCTTCCTCTCCTCCTCTCATCTCTCTTCCCTCTCTCTCTCTCTCATTCCTCACTCTCACTCTCCACTTTAGTCATCATCACCACATTTACTCTCACTTCTCACTCCTCTCTCTCATCAACACTCACTCTCACTCACTCTTTCCTCTCTCACTCCCCACTCTCTCATTCCTCTCTCTCGCTCTCTCCTCTCACCTTACTCTCATCCACTCTCTGCTCCTCTCTCTCATCTTATTTTCTCTCACTTACCCTCCCTCTCTCACTCTTCCTCTCACTCACCTCACTCTCTTCCTTCACTCCACTCTCTCCTCTCTCTCCTCTCATCTCCTCTCCCCCCCCCCCCTCTCTCTCCTCCCCTCCTCATCTCTTTCCTCTCAACTACAACCATTCTCTCTCTCTCTCTCTCCGCTCTCTCCCTCTTCCTCTCCCTCCTCTGCCTCTCTCTCTTCCACACTCCACTTACTCTCCTACCTCTCTCAACCCTCACTTTCCTCTCTCTCGATCACGCACTATCACTCCAACTCTTCCACTCATCACACTACACCTCTCACACTACATCCCTCCACCTCTCTCTCTCTCACTCCCTTCTCTCACTCTCTCTCTTCCCAACACCTCAACCACCTCTCTCTTTCCTCTCACCCACACATACACACTCTTTCCTCTCTCACTCTACATCACACCTCCTCTCTCTCTCTCTTTCCTCCTCTCTCACTACTCCCCCCTCCTCTCTCAATCTTCACGTCTATTCCTCTCTCCTCCTCTCTCACTCTCTCTTCTCCCTCCACTCTCTAACCTCTCACACACTCTCAACTTATCCTCTCTCACACTCTCTCTTCCTCTCACACTCTCCTCACTCTCTCTCTTCACCTCCCTCACTCACTCTCTCTCTATACTTCCTCTCACTCTCACTTCGATCCCCTCTCTCTCACTCAGCCATCTCGACACACTCATCATAAATCACCACCTCACCTCCCTCACTACTCACTCTCTCACCAACACATACTCACACACACTCATCGTCTTCTCTCTCCCTCATCTACAAACCTCACTTCACCTCTCTATCTCTCTTCTTCTCACACTTATCTCTCTCTCCTCTCTCACTCTCTCACTCTCTTCACTCTCTCATCTCAATACTCACTCACTTCTCTCGACACCTCACATCTCTCTCATCTCTCTCACTCCACTTCACTCCATCTCTACTCTCTCTCACAGTCTCATCTCCTCCTCATTGTCCTTCTCACTACTCTACTCTCTCTCTCTCTCTCTCACTCTCTCTCTCTCTCTCACACTTCACCCTTCTCTCTCTCTTCTCTTCAACAACTTCTCCTTCTCATCTCTACACTATCTCTCACTAATCTCTTCTCGTTTACTTCCCTCAAACTAAACACTAAACACTTCACAACTCAATCTCATCTCATCTAAAACTCTACAAACTCTAATCTCACAACACTCACAACACGAAACATACTCCTACACTCATCCACAACACTACTACAAACACGAACTCAGTACCCACTCTACAACACTCAGCCAAAACACAACCCTCACAGCACTACCACACACAACTCCACCACAACACTCTCCACCGATCCACACAACACACCATCACTCCTACATCACCTACACTCACCTCTCAACACATCACACAGACACACTCACTCGACACCACAAACACTCACTACAACACCACACCCCATCTCACTCACACAAATCTATACACCACGTCTCATACCACACTCCTAACTAACCACTCCACCTCTCACACTCCCCTCACCAGACACTCACACAACACACACCACACACAAAACTCACACCACAAGCACCCCCAAAACAGACACATACACCGATACACAACACCACAACTCTACACACACAACACGACTACCACCACCAACCACACCACCACACATTCCACCACCAACTCACCTCACTCATCACACACCGTACACTCAATCACACTCACTAACATACACCACCCCTATCCACCCGCTTCCATTCTCCTCCTCCTCCTTACCATTCACCATCACTCTCAAACTTATACTCATACCTCATCCCTTTATCCCCCCACAACCTCACACCACACACTCCCCCGGCGCCAATACCCTCCCCCCCGCGGCAAGCCCTCCCCCCCGCCCTCCCTCCCTCCAGCCGCACGACGACCGCCCCCCACCCCACAACCCCCCCCCTCCCCCCCCCCCCCCCACCCTTGCCCCCCCACCCCCCCCCTCACTACCCACGCAGCCATAAATACACAGGTGTTCCCCCCCCCTCCCCCTCCCCTCCAACCACCCACACACATCCACCTCCATTCCACCTCCCCCACCACCCCAACCCTCCTATAATCTCACCCCTCGCACGACGGCAGAAGTTGTGCCAATGGCCAGAGCTTACAAGCAAAGAAATTAAAGGCTTTGCGGGTCGAAAGTGATGGATTAGTCATGAATGCGTGAGTGTTCGTGAATGTAATCATTGTGTGTTTAGGTGTGTGTGTGCAAGTGAAATATGAGTGAGTGTTTGTGTGGGTAACAAGAGTGTTGTGTGTGTGTTGTGTGAGTGAGTGTGTGTGTGTGTGTGTGTTTGTGAGAGAGATGTGAGATTTGTGTGTATGATGTGCCGAGCGTTGTGCGAGAGCGTGTGCGTGTGCGAGTGTGTGTGAGCGAGTGCAAAGTGAACTATAGGTTTGTTTGTTTGCATTTATGTGTGTATCGTGTGTTCGGTATCCTAAGAGCGAACTACATCAGCAATGCACACCGACAC